TATATTCGTCCTCAGTTTTTTGATCGAATGTTTTTTTCAGCTTGTTCTTATGGAGGAGCAAGTATCTCTTTCGGACGATGTTTGGAAGAATATTGAGAACGATATGGTGAATATGCTTGATCGACTCTGTGTCGCATATAAATTAGCACAAATTAGGTACGTCACTTTTGCATAGGCAATTCATTGCACGCAGAGACGGAAGCAGTCGCGAACGCTGTAGACTTTGCTTTAGGCCTCGGGCATACTCACGCGCGATTTCGGTCGCCGCGCGATCTGGCAAGTTGCCAGATCTCTCAAATTCTATACTGGCAGACCCCAAATGCACAACATGTATAACTTTCGTAATTTTATAGAATGCCCTATCTTCCGTACCTTCAGAAACTCCTTACAATGAGTTATGAGCAATTGGTATATTGCCAAATCGCACTGCGACTGAAATCGCGTGAGGTATGCCCTTTGCCTTATATGGACGCTGGGGCCTTCATTCTGTACTTGCGATGACTTGCGCATACATTTGTTCTTCTATACTCTATATGCATTCACTCTCATTGCAGGTACGATTTGGAGCAGCCCTTCCATAAACTTAGCTTCTTCGGCATCGCGCTTGGCAAAAAATTGGATGTCAATTTTGAAGAGTTAGTTATATGCAGACGTCTTCGTTTGTTCATTTAGATGTTCAGATATTACCAATCAGCGCAAAGAACTCGGTCTGAAGCGGACAAAAAGAAGCGAGAAGAGCACCTGCTGCAGGTGAGTGGTCTCAAATTTCCATCTTTGCCGGTACTTTTTGTGTGGAAGCTGGTTTTAGGTCATGCGAAGATTCTTCACTGAGTATAGCCGGCAAATCTTCAGAGAACAGTGGTACCATATGGCTGATTTACTGCTTTACAAGAAACGTGAACATGTTAGTTTACCTGTTATCAGAGAGCTGGTTTACACGAGAATGTTTAGGATGCATTGATCTACGGAAAGCAGCGCCCTAACTTTTTCAAAGATTCTTTTTTTGATGGAAAAATTGTGATGAATAACGCTGATGTTAAAGAAGTGTTGGCGCTTTTGAACTCTGCTGGTTTCAAAGGTCCGTTTTTTT